ATGAATATATACAAGTGGTATTAAATGTTTACAGCATACAGGACACTTCCTCTAGCCTCGCCTTTTGCATATTTCGATTCTGATATCTTGTAGTCACAATCAAGCATGATATGAAGAAAAATATGACATTGCAAATGTGTTAATGCTAAAAAGAATTCTATTAACTCTTGTAAGCATTAATTTATTGCATTGCTTTGCCTTATTTATTTTTGACTTTAGGTCTGTAAAAATGTGTGCTTTAGGATTCGAGGATTTTCAGTATTTCAGTATATTTAAGAGCATTTTGTTCATTTTTGTGTCGTTCCTTGAAAAAGAAAATATTCTGGTATTTTGGAAGACATTTCTTGTAGTATTACTGATTAGCCAAAAACATCCCGTCTTTGGTAAGTGTTTACATACCAAACATACATAGTTTTATATAAAGTGCCACTTAGAGGCGTCTGTTGCAGATTTTGATATGTTGTAATGAAATTACTTCTGTGCCCTACTGCAACACTATGAATATGAACATAAGAAAGTAACAATCAATTAAATCTTTAACTATGTTTAGCCATTATTCACATAGAACTGCTTTATACACAGGCCTTTATCATTTTAAATGCACCAAATGAAGATGTTTGGATCTCAATATAGTTATAATGTTTTTTTCCATTGATCATATATTGCATACTGTCTACAGGACAGATAATGAATTATAATATATATATATATATATTGATTATGTTCATAATCAAAGGCTTCCACTGTTTGAGCAGAAATTATTTGGTTAATTCTGGTACAGCAGTGTTTTAATTGTTGTAAAGTTATCTTTAAAGTTATTTTTGACATTTGACATCTTATCCTGATTAAATGTGCTTATGTTTTAGTTCTGTTGTATATTTATTTTTTAAAGACATGTATTTAAGTAAGTCCCGCACTGATAGTCAAAATTTAGTTGCTTGTGGTTTGCCGTTCTCTTAGTACTAATGAGTAAATGTAAACTATTTAATTTGTCTATAGAAGATTTTCATCTTACCACTCACAATAAAAAGTATGTGTTAATTAAACTGATGTGAGAAATCAATAGTAAATGACTTGACAAGTTTCAGCCTGATTAAGTAAACATCTTATTATGCCACTGGTTAACTGAACGTTTCAGTTGAACAACTTCCCTGTTTCTTTTAATTTTAGAAGTCACAATGAAGCAGCTCATTACCATTTGTTACAGTTCTGTCTATATTCTTAAAGATATTTGTATGCTGTTGAGTGCAATAAAACAAGGTCTGTGCAATACCCCAGATCATCACTGTAATGAGTCATTTGCATTCTTCCCCTTGAACTTATGGAAGTGTCACAAATAAAGTTTCATTTTGTGAACACAAGATGCTGAGTTCTTCTTAAGAGTTTATTTATAAGCATCAGTTTGGAAACCCATTTTTAGGAAAGAATGTTGCATAGTTTTTTACAGTGGATTAACATTTATTATAAATGTTTATATCTTCCATGTGTGATCTAGCAATGTGTGTTGACCTGTTAAGACAGAAAAGTCAGTACGTTTGACAATACTTAAAGAAAGCTGTATCTGGTTCTTAAAATTAAATAGGCCCAGAGTAATTAAACAAGAGCAACATTTATTAAAGTACACTACTGTTCATGTTTGGGGTTAGTAAATTTTAGGTTAGTTTTTTTTTTCCATCAAGGATGCATCAAACATGACTAAGGACATTTATTATGTTACAAAAGGTTTCTATTTTAAATAAATACCGTTCTTTTGAATTTTGAACTTCGAACTTTCTATTTATCAAAGAATTCTAGAAAAAAAATTCCACAAAAACATTAAGCGGCACAACTGTTTTCAAACTGATAATAATAAGAAATAGTTCTTAAGCATCAAATCAGCATATTAGAATTATTTCTGAAGGATCATGTGACACTGAAGACTGCAGCTGAAAATTCAGCTTTGCCCTTACCGGAAAAAAATGACATTTTAAAGTATATAAAAATAGAAAACAGTCATCTTAAATTCTAATACTATTTCACAGTTGTACTGTTTTTACTATATTTTTGATTAAATAAATGCTGCCTTGGTGAGCATAAGAAAAAAAAAGAAAAATCATACAACCCTTTTAAACAATAGTGTATATTATGTGTCTATAAAATGTAGTTTATAAGAATTTCAGTTAACTAAATTTCAGTCATCAAAATTTTATATGTATTTTCAAATCTTGCTTTTCTCCAAAGTACACCCAAAATAAATTATGTTCTTTATTATGTTCTCGTTGGTTTTTTTCATCAAAGATGGTGGAAGATGAGAGATGTTAGTCCAATACTTCCACCTGCAATTTCAGAAACACACACGACATAATCCATCACCGCTCTATGCTGTTTGTTCATTTGGCACCAAACCTTTGTGTCATATTATATACCTTTCACTTTGATAAATACAGCAAAAGAGAAACCAATAGCACTTTCGTCAGGACAAACGTCATCTGGTGCGTAAGAGGGCTTCTTGAGTATTCATGGATTGCTTTGCATGTGTGACAGTATCTAACTTTGAATATCACTGAGAACAGAATTGTCCAAACATAAACAAAATCAAATGCTTGTAATGCAATTAGCTCGTTCCACTTAATAAAAATGCACCAATGATTAATTGAACAGTTGAGACTAATCAATGAAACATCAGACCAAATATAGATCAAAATATGTCATGCAACATAAGGTATATCAGACATAAAGAATCTGAGGCAGAGCCGTCACAGATGGGATGTGAAGAGTAAACATTTGTTAGGACCCTCTGTGCAAGCAGAGATAGGCTCTGTCTGAATTGACAGCACAACCTTAATTGTGTCTATGACGAGGGAGCCATCACGTCAAAACCATTAACATTGGGATGGGGTGACATGAGCAATATTGATCCCTTCGGGATAGATGGCCTCTGAAGATATAAAACTGAAGATCCTGGCTGGGGCGAGAGTACTGAAGACTGGAGACACCCGCCAACCTCTCACCATGTTGTCACTGGCACTGCTCTACATTCTGGCTGTGGTTTGCTCTGCGCTGAGAACTGATGCGCTGCCTCTATATTCAGACACGGCACTGCCTCAACAGGAAGGTAAGATTATCAGTGTGCTCTTGAGAAGTCGGCAAGCTCATGATTTTTGTTAAGGCTGAACATGAGGCTAAATGTATGGTGAAACCCATGTCTAATAGACATTGGGCTGATTGCTGAGTGCTCAATATCCCTTCGGCTTTCATTGTAAATGTTAAAGAGGAAGTGGTGAATGCAGTATGGGAAAGATTTGATAAAGACCCATGAGCTTGATCAGTGATAACTTAACATGATAACTCAATTCGTCTTCACTAAAGCTTTTAAACATAAACATTTAACTTAGAAACAGAAGATTTTTTGGTGAAACTTCAAATAACACTGTAAAATATGTTCAAAGTTGTAAATAAAACACAGAATATTGGAATATGTTTCACAAGAAAATACTATTGCAGTATTTCTTTAAAATTTCATAAGTCAATGTATAACATGCTGTTTCTTTGTGATTATTGGTGAAATTGACTAGCAATTTCTGAGTAAAAATTGTTTCACCACCAGATGTTTTTCAGTGTAGTTTTCAATAATGACTCAAGTTTTGTAGTTCATAATTTAATTGCTTTTTCCTTTTTTTTCTGTCTCAGAACTGATTCAGAAACTGGTGGCGGAGGTTGAGGACAGACAGAATAATGACTTAACGGAGCAAAGGGACATCAAAACTGTGCTCCCTGTCCTGCTCCAGAGAGGTGAGACTGTGACTCTTGGGTACTTATTATTACATAACATTTCTCATGTTATTAGAATGGATACATTTTTCAAAAACTCCTGCAGCCTAATCATGTTTTTTTTATTTTTTGGCTTAAACTTTCTTTCTAGGTGCAAAAGAAACTTTGCAACAAGAGAAAATAAATAACATGGTATGATCCTACTCTTTGTAATGAATTTACAATTTCTTTCTTTCTTTCTAATTAAAAGGTAACTAAAGTGGCAATGAATATGTTCTGTGTCTTTAGGAGGAGGATTTCAAAGCAGTCGTCTTGAAACTCGCAGCAGCTGATAACCTGCGTTCTCAAGGCTATCTACGATCTGAGCAAAACCTGCCCAAAAACAATAAGAGAGGTGAGCAATTAAAGAGACTAAACAGAGGTCATCATATATGTTGTGCAAATAAAAAGATATCAATGTTTTCATGACAAAAAGCAACAACAGCTACTTACGATTATGCAGTGTAGATTTACTCAGAGACGAAATATGTCAAAGACAGCATAATGACTATTCTTATTGCATTACTAATTCAAATTTTTGTCCTTCATTTTACAGCCTGTTTTTGGAAATATTGTGTTACAAACTAAGAATGAATCCACTGAAATGGACAGAGGACCAGCCTAACATACCTTATGTACAAACATCTAAAATGTATGCTTTTGTTTTTCCCCATAAAATATCCATATAAATATCCATCCATGCCGTTTGATATTGTGAATATATATATATATATATATATATATATATATATATATATATAAATCTAT